ATCACTACATGCAAAAATAACAAAAAAAATGCAAAAAACTGGACAGACCTTATACCTTTCATAAAATTAGCTCAAATTGGATCATACACTTAAATATAAAATGCAAAACTATAAAACTAGAACATACCAAAGGAGAAAATCTAGGTGACCTCTGGCTTGGTGGTAACTTTTTAGATACAACACCAAAAGCACAATCCATGAAAGAAAAATTGGGGCCTTATTAAAACTGAAAACTTCTCTTCAAAAGACACTATTAAAAGAACAAAAAGACAAACCACAGGCTGCGAAAAAATATTTGCGAAATACTTATCTGATAAAGAACTGGTATCCAAAAAATACAAAGAACTTTTTAAACTCAATAAGAAAACAAACAACTGAGTTAAAAAATGAATAAAAAATCTGAACAGACATCTCACCAAAAATGATACACAAATTGCAAATGAAAAGATGCTTGACATCATATGTCATTATGTAACTGCAAATTAAAACAATGAAATGCCACCTCACACCTATTAGAATGGCTAAAAGTCCAAACACTGGTAACACCAAATGCTGGTGAGGATGTGGAGCAATAGAAACTCATCCCCTGCTTCTGGGAATGCAAAATGGTATAGGCACTTTGGAAGACAGTGTGGCAGTTTCTTCCAAAACTAAACATATTCTACCCATGTGATCCAGTAACCACCCTCCTCTGTATTTCTCCAAATGAGTTGAAAACTTATGTCCACACAAAAACCTGCACACAAATGTGTATAGCAGCTTTATTCTTAATGGCCAAAACCTGGAAGCAGCCAGTATGTCCTTCAGTAGGTGAATGTATAAACTGTGGTACATCCACACAATGGAATATTATTCAGCACTAAAAAGAAATGAGCTATCAGGTCATGAAGAGACATGAAGAAAACTTAAATGCATGTTCCCAGTGAAAGAAGCCAATCTGAAAAGGCTACACACTGTATGATTCCAACTGTATGACATCTAGAAAAGGCAAAATAATGGAGGCAGTAAAAAGATCAGTGGTTGCCAGGGGTTGGGGTGGTGGGGAAGGAGAAATGAATAGGCAGAGCACAGGGGAATTTCAGGCAGTGAAACTACGCTTTGCAATACTACAGTGGTAGGTCCATGTCGTTATTCATTGTCAAAACCTATCAACACAAAGCGTGAACTGTAATGTAAAGCTACGGACTTTAGTTAAAAATAATGTATCAGTCCTGGCTCATCAATTGTTAACAAATGTACCACATTAATGCAAGGTATTAATAATGAGAAAATGAGGTGAGGTAAGGAAGTATATGGAAATGCTCTTTCTGTTCAGTTTTCTATAAACCTAAAACACAGATTTACAGATTTGAGCTCTGTAAACCCAAAACAGAATAAATGCAAAATACACACACACTCTCACTCACCTTGGCACATCACTACCAAACTTCTCAAAACTAAAGATAAAATGAAAATCTCAAAAGCTAGGAAAAAAAGACACATGGCACACGTGGAAATGATTCGAATGAACACCGGCTTCTCAGAAACAATGAAGGCTGACTTCATTTGCTGCTCCAGAAATTTCCTTTCATGAGTTTCTTCCTGGTACTTCATAGTCTAAGTAAGCATTTTTGTGTGGGAAGTGCTAACAGTGAAACGTGAGAGACCTACAAAAGTGAGTGTGTGAAAATGAAAGCAAAACCAATAAGGTCCCCTCTCACAGCATGTCTGCTTGCCCAGTGCTCCCAGACTGTGAAAGCTCAGCATGAGCGAGGCTAACACTGAGTGAATGCAATTATTTTAAATGGGGGAAATGCTATTAAGTGTATTTTTAAAAATAATCTGGGATGTGCAGTTACGAAGTCCAGAAAATTTAAAGGATTTTTTCTTGTAATTTCATAAAGTGGCATCTCAAACATGGCAATAATTATTTGATCTGATGTCAATTTTATATGTATGGTAAAAGGTTTAAAACTCAACAGTCGTTAACACCAAACTGAAATGATGCGTCTTTTAAAAAGCTCTGAAAATTCAGAAGCCAGATGTCTAAAAACTGAAACAGAGTGAAAAGACAAATCCAGAGCACAGTGTTGCAGAAATGCAAGGGCCAGGCAAGGGGACATGTGACCACAGAGTAAAAATAATACTGGAAGAGAAACGAATTCTGCTTTCCCTTCTGGCACATTTTTAGGTTAAGTATTTACTCACTTGAACTAGAGCAGTTGCAGACAGCAACCAAGGCAAAGTAAGGAAAACTGCTACTTTTGTATCTACTTCCCTTTCAGGATTAATTTTGCAGCACCCTCTCCCCTTACCTGACTTGAAAGGATACACAGATACACAAATGTTCCCAGCAAAGCTAAGGAGCAGTGAAGAGAACTAACACTTGTTGGGCGGAACCCTCCTACCAAGCTCTGGGATGGGTGCTAATAAGACACTGGGGGATTGGTTCTTCTTGGAGTCAGAAATCTGATAAATTAATGACAATCTTCACCAGAGTCAATTATGCTCCCAATTAAATGTGTCCTTTTCCCTACAACAATCTTACCCAGGAGTCCTGCAAACACCTGGTATGCTACATGAGAGAGGTGTGTATCTGCAATGTATTCTAGCTAACAGTAACAATCAAGACTAACTACCATTATAGACAAGCCATTTTATCTTTCTGGACATGACTGTCCTCATCTATAAAACAGGGAAATGGCTAAGTCACTAGCTCTAACACCATAGTAAAAGGTCTCCCAAATTTATAAATTTTGTGCAGGTGTTGGTGTACTTTCTTTTCCCTTACTGGATACAGTTTTCATCAAATTTTCTAAGAGGTCTGTATTAAAAGAAAGTGGTAAGAACCACTGATAAAATACTAAACAGAGAAATCAATAAAAAATATTGTATCTTTTTCAAGATAGCTCATTACAAAGCAGCTTTTAAATGATATGGGTTTTCTGAATAATGCATCTAAAAAATGAATATGCTGCTTTATTAGAGTTGGAAAGAGCAGTGACAAATCCAATTGTAGGAAACTGGATATAGTACAGTCTCAGAGTATCTGTTTTTCACTTGAACTGTTCACATGTCACTTTGGCTCTTCTGAGCTCCTGACTCCCCTAACCAACTGCCTACCTGACATCTCCACTTTGAGCACCTCAATCTTCTTTTCCAAACTAATTCTTTCCCCAGTCTTCCTCACTCTGTAAGTAGTACCACCAGGAACACAATTCCTCAAACCAGAAACCTGAAGTCGTCGTCTTTTTTTTTTTTTATTGAAGTATAGTTAGTTTATAGTGTTGTGAATTTCTGGTGTACAGCATACTGTTTCAGTCATACATAAACATAAATATATTTGTTTTCGTCTTCTTTTTCATTATAGGTTACTACAAGGTATTGAATATAGTTCCCAGTGCTATATAGAAGAAACTTGTTGTATATCTATTTTATATATAGTAGTTAGTATCTGCAAAGCTCAAACTCCCAATTTATCCCTTCTGACTCCCTTCCCTCCTGGTAACCATAAGTTTTTTTCCCATGTCTGTGAGTCTGTTTCTGTTTTGCAAATAAGTTCATTTGTCTTGTCTTTTTTTTGGTTTGTTTTTAGATTTCATGTATGAGTGATATATGGCATTTTTCTTTCTCTTTCTGGCCTCACTTAGAATGATGATCTCCAGGTCCATCCATGCAAATGGCATTATTTTATTCCTGAAGATATTCTTGACATTTTCTTCTCATTGACCTGCCACATGCAGCCTATCCCCAAGTTCTGTCAAATTCATTCTCAAATCATCCTTCCCCCCTTTCCCCAACTCCACTGCCCCCAACTCGAGTCAAAACCATGTTATGATGTTGCCTGAGCCTTTCCCAGAGATCCTTAAATGGTCTTAAATTCTCCTCCTTGCTATGCAGGAAGCCTGACAGCCCTGTGGAAATCGAGGCGGACTGAAAACCAGATCCTGTCATTCTACTTCAAGGTAGGAGAATGCTTTCTTCTGAATTTAGAATAAAACCCCACCTCCTTCACAGAGCCCACAGAGCCCACAGTGCCCGGGGCCACCAGAATGTTGGTTCTTAGATCCTGCGAAGTGTCTTCCTACCCCAGGGCCTTGATACAGTGTTCCATCTGAAGGTTCTTCAAAGGACACATTTTTTTTATGAGCTTTCTTAAGCTTTAAGGATGTGAGAGTTTACTTCACATCCTTTAAAGTAAAATTCCATTGACTGTGACCATTTGTTGTGAAAAGGCAGTTTACATAGTTTTTTAAAAAGTTAATAACCGAAGAATTTATGTACGCAGTGACTTTTCTGGAGTCACTCGAAGGAGAGAAAGGGAGAGGGATTAAGGCCAATAGAACCTCCACCAATAGAACGCCACCAGGTATTTCGGGGAGGGGCTGGTCCCTCGGGCACAAATTCCCTGGCGACCCCAAGAGAACATCCACTCTTCCTCCCAAGCCCTGCTCACCCCGTGACCAAGTCTGAGGGCCCGGGCTCCTCTGTGAGCACCCCTCCGCCCTAGGCCGCCTAGTGCTTATGGCGCCGCCCCAGTCTTCCCCTAAGCCGAATTCAACCGGGGGGGGGTCACTACAGCGCGAAGAGGGGGAGTGACCCTCAAGGTCAGAAGCAAGCAAAGCGCCGTGTTTTCCCTTGAACCCAAACAATACTTTCGGGTCAGGTTTTTGTCAAGTCCCCTTTACTGCAGAGGAGACCCCCTGACTCCCACAAGGGGCGAGAGAGGCGGGGGCACGGCGCTCACCTCGGAGCAAGGACATGGCGGCAGCGCGGGGATCCTCCTCGGCGACGCACCATGCCGCCCGCCCCCAGCCCGGCTTTAAGAGCGCGGGGCGGCGCCAGCGCGGGGACGCCCCGCCCTTTCACCTACTCCGGGTCGGCTCGCGCCGGTTCCCTTTGGCCACCACGCTTCCCTCTCCGCGCCATCCGGGGGAACCAAGGGCGGTACCAAAACCTCCGGGCGAGACCGGCCTTGCACAAGTGAACGTTCCTTCAGAGCCAACTTTTCCCTCACATCTTTGCTTTTTAAATTTATCTCTGTTTCCCAGCTGAGTGAGTTGACTCTATTCTATCCGCCCCGCTCCACACGGGTTAATTAATGTTCTCCTTCATCCCGGCTACCAGACTTTCTGAAACGTTCGACTAGGCGCCGAATGGGTGGAACGGGTTTGAGCGGCGTAGGGAGCAGCCCGGCGCGGCGGGGCGGGGCCGGAAGCCAAGTGGGCGGAGCGAGGAAGACGGCGCGAGGAGATTGGCTGAGCCGCTCTCGCAGTCGGCTGCGCAGACCAGGGGCAGAGGCCTAGGCGGCTGGGTCTGCTAGGGTACCAGGCCCGGTGGGGTGGCCGGGGGTGGGAGGGGGAAGGTTGGCCTGCGAGGTCTCTGGTGAATGTCCTAGAGCAGGGATGCCTCTGGGGTTCCCGATGCAGCCCCCGTATGAAGCCACAGTATTTTCCTTATATGATTGGGCCCCATTGCTGGCGGCGCCGCTGGCCCGGAGCCTGAGAGGATTATGAAAACGTGTGTCCGGCGGAGTGGGGCCAGAGAACCCGGGGCGGGGAGATAAGAGGCAGCTGGTTAGGCTAGAAATGAGGGAAGTTCGGGAGGCCTCTGCCGCTGTAACTGTGAGCCCTGGTCGATGATGACTTGACCACTGCGCAATCTGAGTTCTGGGAACCAGGTGATGGAGTGTGTGCTGAGAAAGGACTGAGACCGGGCGAGCAGGAGGCGACCCGGGCCAGCGGAAATGCGGTAGATCCGCAGCGCCAGGGCTCGGGGGCTAGCCAGGCTGCCTGGGGCTTGGTTTACTTGTGTGTGGGAAGGGATGGTGGGAGGCACTGAGGTTTTTTGTGAGCCGCCAGGAAATGCCTGCTCTGGAATCCTGCTTTCCAAACGCTTTCGTGGCCCTCTCACATTGTATTTGTTTGGTTTTTGATCCAATGTTTTTGTTATGAAAAATTTCGAACATACAGAAAAGTGGAAAGATTTATATACAGTAAACACCTATATATTCAACACCTGTATTCTACAGTTGTCAACAGTTTGCCTTACTTGCTGAATCACATCCATACATCTGTTCTTCCATCAAGCCATCTTATTTTTATTATGCAGATCTTGGTTCAGTTTACCCTCAGGAATATTTTGGCTCACATTAGAGGTCAGTATGTTTACAGTTCTTTTAAGGCAAAACTTCCAGGTAGTGAAATGTACAAATAATTGGATGGAGTTTCACAAATGCATACTCTCTCGTAACCCATACACTCAGCTTTCAAAATGTAATTAGAACATGTCTATCATTACAGAAAATTTCTTCATTTCCCTTCCCACCCTCTAGCTCCCAGTTATCCATTGTTTCTTTTTTCTCATCATCTGTTGTATTTGACTGATTTATTCCTTTTTTCTGTTGCTTTGATTTGAGCAAATCCAGGAGATTGACATTTATCAATTCAGTACATAAGTTCTGAGGCTATTAACTTAAAAAATAGATATTCTCCTTTTTCACAAGTGTATATAGTCAGTGGCATTTGAACTTTGAATAGATCAAATCTTCCTACATCCCTGACGATTTTTTTTTTCACCTGCATCTTCTGGATGATGAGCAGAGAACGAAAGTAAAATAAAAGCATTTTGTGGCACTGTGTGTCCAACACTGTGCCAGGCACGTCATATTCTGTTTAAAATTCATCTACTCAGGCAATATAATTGTTATATAAAACAGAATAACATACAATTCATATAGCATCAGACGAATCCAAATTGAGGGACATTCTGCAACCCTGTGAAACAGTTCTGGGTTTTTCCTTTCTCATTTTATAAATGAGGAAGCTTGGACTCAAAAGAAACCAAAGAATCTGCTAAGGCCTCAAATCTAGAAAATTGCTGAATTAGAAATTTCAGCCCTTGATTCGCAGCAGCCCAAGGCCCATGGTGTGTGTCTAGGGCTCAAGGCATGTGGAATATACAAATCGGGATAGAAAAAGAGACAAGTATCACTAGCTAAGATGTATGTTATAGAAAACAGGGAAGGAAGTGAATGTTAAGTCAATCTTTCCTGGTGGGAGAAACAAAGTAGTTGAAACCTTGGTAAGGTTAATATGTGTATATGGTGGGTTAGGTTTAGAAGGTTTATTTGCTTTATTTTGGCAAGAGAAGAGTCTCTGGGTGTGAAGTAAAGTGTGGTTTCAGGTAGGTGGAGAAGTGAAGCAATGTGTCACTACTAGATACTCAGCCTTTCTCAACCAGAACTCCTACAGAAAATGGAGTGGCTGGTTTCTCATAATTCTTCCAAGGACGGTACAGAGCTAGTATCATTCTAGATGCACAGGAGTTAAGTTATTACCTATAATGGTTACCTTGCAGCATTAGAACTTGATTTATGTTTGAAAGCTAGTAACTCATTATAAAATTGAAACCAAAATGAAATTCATTAGGGTGAGCCAGAATCAACACATGTTGTCTCAAGCTGACACTCAATGAACTCAACCCAGTCAACTGTGTGTGTTGTAATGAGGAAAATTTAAAAATCAGAAAACATGCGCAGTGAATTATGCCTAAGGGTGATACAGTGGTGGAGGAAATAGATCTTTAAAAGTTATGGGTTTTTTTTTCTGTTAAAACTTACTAATAGTCCAAATGCAGAGAAAACTCGTGGTTTGTAGAACTATTGATAAGGGTGAAAAGGCAGGTTCTATTCAATTTGCCCCTCCCCATATATTTATTAAGAAAAGTTAAGATACCATCACGAAGTGTCAGTTTCCCACCCAATACCCTACAGATCGCTGGCAGCAAGTTCTTCCAAATTTACTAAATTTTCTCTAATTTAAAATGTCACATAAATGGATAGATTTGAAAACTATTGGGTAAAAGATTTACATATATAAAAACATGTAACTCTATATAAAGATGTTTACACAGTCGCAAGTTATCACGAAGAGGAAAAGGTATCCTTACACTAGAGCGATCTTGTGGGTACTACCTTAACCAAATGATCAAGCTTAACATCACCATTAATGGGACAGGCTGATCTCATGCACTCTCTTGACACATTGAGAAGGACACAACCTCACCTATGAAGTATTTCGCAAAAAAAAAAAAAAAAAAAGTTTGACTTGAATCTAATCATAAGGAAACAGACAAATCCAGATTGAGGAACATTCTGCAAAATAGCTGACCTGAGCTCTCAAAAACTGTCAGTGTTGTGAAAAAGCAAAAAAGGCTGGGAATGGTATCAGATTAAAGGAGACTAGAGATGTGACAATTAAATGTAACGTGGGAATCTTTAATTGCAAAGGGGATTTAAAACAACAACTCTAAAGAGCAGAACTGGGACAATTAGGGGAACTTTCTTGAAATTAACTGAGATAGTAGTATTGACATTACTTTTTCTCATTATGTTAATTAAATTGCAGATACAGGGGAAGATTGTTCTTTGATCTTAGGAGATACTAACATATTTAGAGGTGAATTAGTCATCATGTCTGCAACTAATCACCAAATGACTCAGAAAATGCAAAACAGAGAAAGAGAGATAGCAAATATGGCAAAATATTACCAATTAGGGAATCTAAATATAGGGTATACATTGTTTTATTTTTACAACTTTTCTGTAGATATTTAACTTTTCAAAATAAAAATTGGGAGGAAAAGTATCTTTCAAGCAAGCTGAAAAATTACCTGAAATAAATTATTTTGTAAAATAATTTAGTTATTTTCCTGTTTAACCATATGAAACCAGATAAATATTGTACAACACTATGTATATCAAAATTATTTTATATTTATTAAATATAATTTTTATTTATTATAATTTTTAAAATCTAGCCATGGACCATATGAGATGTAAAGTTATTATTCTGCTCTTAGACATTTAGTTTTCAGTATTTTTAGAAATGCCTTGTTATTTCTTTCTGTAATTATTTTTTGAAATAAGAGAGGAGTAGCATTGGTAAGACTGGAAACCAGTAAATCTATTATAAATCTGTAAATTCTGATATTAAGATTTCATTAGGTAGATACACACCAAGGACCTACTTATAGCACACGGAACTGTATTCAATATTTTGTAATAACCTATAATGGAAAAGTATTTGAAAAAGAATATACATATTTATATAACTGAATCACTTTACTCTCCACCTGAAACATTATAAATCAACTATACTTCAATTAAAAAAAAAGATTTCATTTAGGATTTCAGAAATAACCAGCCTCAGCCCTATCTCCTGTATTTTCTGGATAATTTTTCTATGCTTAAACTCTCGTAACACTCAAAATTGATGTTACCTTAAACAGATCTGGCTTTAGAAGTTTCAGTAATGGAAACTGGGAAAGCTAGTAGAGTTAGTTAGGGGCTAGGAAAATGTTAAGAAATGACTACAGTTGTCCCTCAGAATCTTAGGGTATTTGTTCCAGGTGTATACCGAAATCAAGTCCCTTATGCCCAAATGGCGTAGTATTTGCATGTAACCTATGCACAATCTCTGATAAACTTGAAGCCATCTCTAGATTAATTATAGTACCAATTACAATGTACATGCTATGTAAATGGTTGCTGATACATGCCAAATTCAAGTTTTGGTTTTTGAAACTTCCTGGAAAAAAACATTGTTCTTCAAATATTTTTGATTTGCGGTTGGTTAAATCCATGGATGCAGAACCCAAGGATACAGAGTGTCCAATGTATAGAATTTGACTAAGTGAGACAGGTGAGTTTCCTTATCTTGAGTAGCTTGGAGAGTTACGTATGTGCTCATTGTGAACCTAATTGCTTCAGTGATAACTTCAAATTTTGTGAATTAAGAGACAGCTTGGGTGTGGTTTTGTCCTTTTAGCAAATACCTACTCCTCAGAAAGTTCCAGTTGCCAAATAAGCACATCAGAAATGAAATGTAGACAGGAAATAATACAGATACTGATTTGCTGAACTTACTTGAAGTTTGCCCCAGGTCTAGATGTGTTCCCATAGCTTAAGACACTGTCACAAACTTAGGTGAAGAGTATATACAGCTGACCCTTGAACGACATGGATTTGAACTGCATGGGCCCATTTATATGCAGGTATTTTTCAATAGTAAATACTCCTGTACTACATGAATGAAGGTTGTATGGAACCTTGAATATGGAGGGACAGTAATGGAAGGCCAAGTATAAATTATACCCAGATTTTTGACAATGGAGTGGGCTGCTGTACCCGCCTCATTGAAGGGTCAGCTGTATTTGTGTTTGTTCCTCTGTTTGAAAATTATTTGCAATGTCTATATCCTTAAGAAGCCTTTGAATTTTATTTAGTAATACAGGCATACCTCATGTTATTGTGCTGCATTTTTTAAAAATTGAGTTTGTGATAACCCTACTTGGAGCATCTTCTGGTACTATTTGCTCACTTTGTGTCTCTGTGTCACATTTTGCTAATTTTTGCAAACTTTTTCATGATTATTATGTTTGTTATGGTTGTCTGTGATCAGTGGTCTTTGCTGTTATTATTGTAATTGTTTTGGGGATGCCACGAACCACGCCCATATAAGATGGCAAACTTAATAGATGTGTGTGTTCTGAC